GATAATAAAAAGTTACTGATTTCTAGCTTAAGAACAACTGAACTTATTTAACAGGAAAAAGTCAAAGAATAAAGTATGTTAAAGTTATTTTTCATTATCACTTATTAAGGCTCTTTTCAGTCTAACCTAGTTTTAGGGTTCATCCAGCAACTGAAAAGAATTAGGTCACTTCTACAATGGCAAATTTCATCAAATAAAGCACTTGCTTTAGAAAACTTACCCCAAAATATTCTTGCCTGCCTCTGTTTGAACAATCTAAAACTTAGCAAGCAAAATCCTGAAAACCCAAATCTGGGTATGGGGAAATCAAGCGGCTTCACTGACTTTGTTTTTTGCAGTTAAAAACAAAAACTAAAACAAAAACAAACCTTACTTCACCAATAAATATTTCCAAAATGGAAAATTTGGTTTCAATTATCATGGCTGAAAGGCACATCTGCTTCAGGCAGCAGTGATATCCAAAAATGTCTACAAAAGTTTCTAACCATGACTACTAGGGATGGGAGAGGACTTAAGGACATACCATGGAAGAGAGAAAAGGCGAGAGTGCTCAATACTGGCTCTTCCCTGGGTCTTGCTAGCATTTTTTCTGGAGTGCAAACCTCAGCATTTAGAGAATATCAGCTAAGTCATGTCTTCTCAAGAAATAGGATCTTTCTCTTCATCGATCAAGGGTGAAAAAAAATCTCTTCTGGCTCTGAAGCTCCTGAAGTCCAGAACAAGTTCTCCTTAGTAAGAATGAGCCATTCTCCTGAGAATTGCTCCCACCAAATCATGTGACAGTGCTAGACACATGGTGATCCTCTCAAGCAGGTGCACCCCATTATTTCTGGTGAAGGAAACCATAATTTTAAGAAAAATGGACAACTTCCCCTTTTTATGATGCTTCTTCCTAAAATTGTTACTCTCCGCAAATCTTGCAGATATGCCAGACACTGTGCCTAGAAAAAAAAATTTTTTTTAAGATTTTATTTTTAGGGGCACCTGGGTGGCTCAGTCAATTAAGCATCTGCCTTCACCTCAGGTCATGATCCCAGGGTCCTGGGCTTGGTCCTTGGGCTCCCTGCTCAGCAGGGAGTCTGCTTCTCCCTCCTCCGATCCTGTTCCTCCTGCTTGTGTTTTCTTTCTGCCATATAAATAAAATCTTAAAAAAAAAAAAAGATTTTATTTTTAAGTAATTTCTACATGCCACGTGGGGCTCAAACTCACAACCCCAAGATCGAGAGTTGTATGCTCTATCGACTGAGCCAGCCAGGCGCCCCTAGAAAAAAAATTTTTTAATTGTGGCAATATGCTTAACATGACATTTTCCACTTTAGCCACTTTTGAGTGTGTGGTTCAGCAGCATTAAGTACATTCACGCTGTTGTGCAACTATCACCACCATCCATGTCTGGAGTATAAATAAGGCTACTTAGCCCACAAGGCTGATTTCCAAAACTGAAATATAATCTTAATTGCAAGAGCAATTGCCATTTTCACTGTCTATCTGCTCTACAAACACACAGGCCGATACACACACACAATTTATCACTGGAGTGGCTGAGAGCCAGAGACCCTTCTTCTTCACAAAACAGAAAGCAGAGCCATCTTCCACTGATTTTTCACAAAGGCTGATGGTAATCTTAGCATCAGCAGGTTCTTTAGAGAGCAGGACAGCTTGGGGGACATGGCAAAGGTGAGTGCAAATTCATAGGTTCTTGACACTCTGGCTGAACAAAAGCGTATCCGGTTCGTGATTCCGAACCACCAAGGCATCCAGATGCCTCATGATGTCTGTAAAAAGGAGGATTAAGGTAGGTGTCGGGGAAATGCCAAGCCCTGTGTGGTATCTCACTATGAGGAGATGGATGGCTCAGGTAGAAGCAAGAGAATGGGCCTGACAAGCCCTCCCCAATTCTCTCATGGGAAAAGTCCCACGTAGTCTGCTTCAGATGGTAAATATAGAAAGTCCTTAAAATAACCCTCAGTTAGAATCCCAGCACGAGTCATGGGGTACAACAGGTCAATAGATGAACACGAGGGGTAACAAGTACCGTTACCTAGAACTCAGTCTGTGCCACAAAAATTTTACTAGGTGCTTTCTATGCATTACCTCATTTGATCATGACACCAATTCGGTGAGATACAGATACTGTTATTACTCCCTTTATACCAGAGAGAAGAATTATTTGTGAAAAAAAAAAGTGACACACTCAAGGTCACATGGTTTACGAAGCAGATTCACGGCAAAGTCTATGTTACTCTAAATCCCATGCTTTCGATTAAGAGCCATTTAAGGGAGAAGTTATTTTCATACCCTTGTGGCAAAGAAAGAAACTGTTCATTAAAAATCCCTTGGCTGAAAAAATGTTAATGCTTAAAAACAGCCCCAATTAAGCTGCAGCAGGTTAAGCGTGGACCAAGCACAGATTCAGGATTCCTCCAGTCGCTGGAGGTTTGGCATGTGATCCTAGGCCAGTCACTCAGCTTCTTGGGCCCTGGGTTTCCCAGGGAACTTGTAAAACAAGGCCGCTTCCCCTGTTCTCCGCCTACAAAGCATTCCACCAGGTCAATGACCCGTGCTGAGATAATAAGGCCAGTAGCCAAAGACGAACCTACTGGCCGAAGGTTTCAATCTCCTCTCTGACCAACTTTCTTCTTAGTTATCAGACTTTCCAGCAAAAGTTATCAGCTAATTGCCAAATAATTATGCAGCACCTACTCCGCACGCAGCACACAGCAATGAGTGAGGAGTATGCAGAGGTACGGGCATGCTCCTTACCTTCCAGGACCCATCTCTGAGTTTGGGGACTGGAAAGATATACAAAACAAAATCAGAAAAACATTGGGGGGTGGGAGGGGGCATGATTCAGTATCCAACTATGGCTACAAACTGGAGAGACTAGAATTCAGAAGAACATCACCTCGAACTAGAAAAGCTGAGGTTATCAACACAAAGTAGGGTTTTAAAACAGCCTTGTTAGATGGATAACTTTCAGAAAAGAAGAAGGGAAAGGCATTCCAGGTAAAAGGAACTCTGGGAATGAAGGATCTGGGACTAGATGGAGCAGTATACAGGACGTATGGTCACAAAAGAGACCAAAAACATCGCCCAGCGGGGGTATACGTGAGCAGAGGGAATGCAGACGGGGCCAGATTTCAGAAGACGTGAATGTCTGACGTGGTAAGCTGGGAACAAAAGGTACTGAGATGGGTGACGTGGTGAACACTGGACACTGCTCAGTTTGGATTTCTTGCCTATTCTCTGTCTCTGGTAGGGGAAAAACAAAATTCAGGGGTTTTAAAGGCCAGGACATCAGCCATCCCAGAAGAAAGGCACCAGAGTATCGAAGAACAAGAGATCTCCTAGAGAGCAAAGGATCATTATATTTCTGAAAAGAGGGCAGGAACACAGCAGATGCCCCAAAATGCTCAGGAAGCAGTACTTTGATCTGCTGCGGCTCAACTCACAAGGACCTTTCAGGCCCGACTTGCCACCATTAAAGCAAATCGGCCTGATCCAGAATTCCTAAAGCGCCATTCACATCACCCCTACCCTTCTGCTAGGTATCAGACCCACAGAAGGTGAGGACACCACCCACCTCGGCACCCAGCCTAGGAGATAGGCCCCCAGATGCTCTGCTGCCCAGTAGGCCCCATGGAGTCCAACATCTAAGCTCCTGTTGCAGACAGCACGGAAGCAGAAGCTGCATCAGCAGCACACTCACACTAAAAGTCCCAGACTCATCCTGTGGCAGTCACAGCAAGTAACGCAGTGTCTGGGGCCTCTTCAGACCGGAAGACACCCCACCACCACGCCAATTCTAACAGGGTCTAGAGATGTTAATGGCATCTCCCTGCCGCATAGGATGCAGACGTCAAGCCAGTATGGGCAAAGGAAAGTGTTTACTGAGGTCCTCTCCAGTGCTGAGTTAGGCGAACCGGTTATCATTTCACCTGCCAGTTTTCATCTGCATCAAACCGACAACTCAGAGCAGCAGCCCTCCCCTCAGTGGTGCAGGGCCACACCTCACCCCTCCCTGCCTAAGGCCTCCTGCCGTCACCCCCCCCCCCCCCCCCCCCACACCACCCGCCCCCCCCCCCCCCCCCCCCCCAAGGAAAATGGCAAGCCTCGAGCTCTTCACCAGCCGCAGACCCACGGAACGAAGAGGCTGACAGGGCAGGAGGAGACGTTTTAGCACAGAGGAATGACCCGCCCCCTCACTGCATTGAGCACCTCCGAAATGAAAGAATCAGGTCCTCGGATAATAGTTTAAAACGTACATGCGTGTGCCTGCCAGAAAATAAACTCTTGCTAGTTAGATCCAGCTCAACAGAAGTACTTCAATTCCCTTCAGTGGATTTCCTATGTCATAAGCAATTCCTGATAGAAAGAGCAAGAGTTCCTCTAGAGCATACATTCCAGTATCATTCATAAAGTTTTCAATGAAAATGAGAGTCAGTTCAGAGCAAGTGTCATCTGAATGTGTTTCTCTCCTTCTTATTTGAACTTGTGTGTGTATACAGGCACACACACATGCACGCACACACATATATCCTTTTAGGATAGACAAGAGCATGGCACGCTTAAGATTTGAGCACTTTGGTGTGAAAATGTAAGCAGTCCCTGCCAGGCCAACCCTGCTGTGACATCAGAAACCCCTCACCAAAGAAAAACCACCCCCCGGAAAGTAGCCAAGAAAGGGAAACGCCTCCTTGAAACAGCCTGAGAAATCCTGATTCAGCCTCTGCTAAAACTATCCCCAAACACCAGCCAGGAAGTCCCTTCTTTCAGGGGGCTCCACTGCCCAGCACACCCAGACCTGCCTTTGCTCTCAGAAGCCAGATCTCTGGAAAAAGGGGCTCCCTCCTCTGACTCTGCCGCCCACTGGGATCCATCAGTGTCCAGGTTTTCCGACCCTGCCTCACCAATGCAGATATAAAAGCTGGTAGCTGCACCACAAGCACACGTTCACACGCGCACACACATACCACAACACACACTTATTCCATACATACCTTTCACCGTCCATTGTGCGAGGCCCAGCTGGGGCGGCAGCCGCTGAACTGTGCATGCACCCGGAGATCGTAGCTCTGTTCTCCGTTCTCCCAGCCAACCAACAGGATATCTGATCAGCAACAGTGATTCAGCATGGCTGCAAACGAAGCCTCCTCCCTCTCGATCCTCCTTCCTCCGACTTACTCCCAGCAGCTTCTACCGCAGAAGCAGCGGCAGCAGCAGAAAATGTCTTACCCAGAGCTCCCTGCAGCCCTTTCAGCTGCTAAAAGCAGCAACCCACTTGCTCCCCCTCCCCCGCAGGCTTGCTGCTCCTCCGTCTCCTAGGAACAGCGCGGCTCCAGCGATCCAAGTGCGGTGCCACCTTTCCAGCTGCTTCCACATCTGCCCAGGCATCCCCAGCACAGGCGACTAGCCCACCCCAGGGGCTCTCGCCTCCTGTGCCTGCACTGCGAAGGTTCAGGCAGTTCCTTAGCGGCCCAAGAAATACTGGCCCCCGCCCCCTACCCGGCCCCCACAGGCTACAAGTCCGTCAGCAGGGCCAGATTACTGGAATGAGGAGGCCCCTCTGTGGCCTGTAGTGGAGTTTATCCACCTGGGGAAATTGGCTTGTAGGTCATAGCTCACGTTCCAATTCCTCCTCACAAAATCTACAGTAGCTCTGAGAGTCTGACAGATGGAGAGAAGTTAGGGGAAAAGAGCCTGATATAACTGAGAATGCTGAGAGAAATTTCATAAAGAGAACAGGAGACAGAGGTGAAACTGAAACAAACCGGCTTTTGCCTCAAGGGGCCAAAGACTATCGCAGCAAAGCCATGACAATGAACACTGCACACAGTGATTTCCCTATGCCATACTGAAAGACCACAAATTTCATAGCACGGCCTTAAAATACCTTCCTAAAGCACTGAAATTTTAACTTCAGCTGTGGCTCCAACAAGTAAGTCTCCCAATGAGCCCTCATCTCCAGCCAGAGATCTCTCATACCCTGTAATTTCCAGCTGCTGAGCCTCGATTTAGACTTACTTAACTCTAAAATACCATCTTGGGAAGGCACAAGGCCAGTCTGTGTCTCCTATCCATAGCCTAGAGTCTTAGAGGAAACTGAAGCCATCAGTCCCTGGTGATCGATTGGTTAGCCATAGAAATGGGTTCAAAAGCTTGCTTAATGCCTCAAAAATCATACATGAGCATCTCTATTCTCAAACCATCCATGTCACACATGGGATTTTCAGGATGTGTACTACCCCTGGCTAGCTGAGTGATCTGCAGCAAGTATTCTTCCTACTCAGAACCTCAGCCCTTCATCCCTAACACAGAATCGGTCCAGAGTTCCTTTCAGCTCCAAAAATCACATGATTCTGAAAATGTCTTAAATGCTCTGTTTTTCTTATTAATCTGTAAGAATGCTTATGAAGTAGTTTTTACTGGCCTCTAATATTTTGTAGGGGGCTTCAGGGAGGATAACATAATGTGAAAGTAGGAGAGATGATCATGAAATCTATGATTTTTAGAATTTGGACCTGTTAAATTTCGTCACTGCTACAAAGCCTTGAAACAGTGGAACAGGGGGTGGGGGAACACTGAGGTGCCAGAAACTAGGAGTCACTGAATCTTTATAGCCTCCTGAATTCAAAATGGTAAGATGTTATGCTCAAAGATCACCTCCTACAGACAACTCAGGGTCCTCTGAGATGGGGGCACTCCCCAAACTCTCAAATGAGAAGAGGTCTGGGTTATTTTATTTACACCCTCCGGCCCCAGATCACCACTTCTTCTCCACAACAATACCCCTTGTATCTTTCTCCGTCCGTCCCTTCCTCCTCTAATCAGCCTTGTGGCTCTGCTCCAGATACTTCCTCTTGAGGTGAATCACAGGGATCAGGAGAAGCTGAACACCACAAATAAGGAAACTGAATCCCAGAATCCGTGCCAGAGTGCAGGCATCCACCAGGAAGGCGACTGAGTGATTCGTAAAAGGGACATGAGAATAGGATAAGTCTCTCCTTTATGACTTTATACCTTCATTCACCACTTCACCATACAGGAAAGGGGGGAAATGTCACATCTAACAAACCAGAGAGAAAAGAAAAAGGAGGTCAGAAAAGGAAATACTTGAGGCTGAGGATATACAGATTTTATTTGACAGCCAGTATAAAAATTTTATAGCATTTCCTTCGCAACCTACTTTTGCTGTGCTAACCGATGTCACTACGTCTGTGCTGAAAACATACCACTACCACCTACATGTTTTATTGACCACTCACTCTATCCATGGAGGCAGACGAACAGAAAACACTTAGATAAGGTCACCTACCAAAACCAGGGGCACAGTTGAGTCAAGAATCAAAGTCTGCAGATTCCTCAGGCAAAGTTCCCACCCTCATCCTCTCTAATTTCAGAGCCATATTTTACATTTTCTACTTTATTATCCAAATGTTCTCTGGGCCACAGCCTGAACTCATTTGCTTTGGGCTAATTTGTCTGACTGAACTTCAGATGAAGAGATGCTATTGGATTCTTGCAGCAGAAGAAAATCAACAGAAGCAGAGTGGGGTCTGCGGAGGAAGAAGCCCCATCCTTGGACTGACAGCAGTGGTGTCAGTTTCCACTTCCCAGCCCTCCTTCCCACACCCAAGGCTTCTTCCGCAGCTTACCAATAGTACCTAGTGGCCCCAACTCTCCATCCCAAAGCAATCTACCAGCCATGCACACCAAGCTGGTACAGAATTCTTCAGCTTTATGTGGCTCAGGAAGAAACCGTGTTAGGAAAAGAAACTGGTTTTTGCTTTTGTTTTTGCTTTTAACTGGTCTACCAAGTTCTTTTCTCCACACTCCATCTCTCCCCAAGGAGCCAGAAGAGAATAGCTTATCTAGAGACAGTAAAGCCAACTCTTCCTTTTTTTTTTTTAATTTAAATTCAATTAATTAACATATAATGTACTGGTTTTAGAGGTAGAGGTCATTGATTCATCAGCTGCATGTAACACCCAATGCTCAATCCATCACCCAGTTAACTCCATCCCCCACTCCCCTCCCTTCCAGCAACCCTCAGTTTGTTTCCTAAGATCAAGAGTCTCTGGGGTGCCTGGGTGACTCAGTGGGTTAAAGCCTCTCCTTTCGGCTCAGGTCATGGTCCCAGGGTCCTGGGATCGAGCCCCACGTTGGGCTCTCTGCTCAGCAGGGAGCCTGCTTTCCTCTCTCTCTGCCTGCCTCTCTACCTACGTGTGATCTCTGTCAAATAAATAAAATCTTTAAAAAAAAAAAAAAAGAGTCTCTTAGGGTTTGTCTCCCTAATTTATCTTGTTTTATTTTTTCCAATCTTCCCCCATGATCCTCTGTTTTGTTTCTTAAATTCCACATATGAGTGAGATCATATGACAGTTGTCTTTCTCTGACTTATTTTGCTTAGCATAATACCCTCTAGTTCCATCCACATTGTTGCAAATGGCAAGATTTCATTCTTTTTGATAAGCCAGCCATTCTTTTTTTTTTTTTTTTAATTTATTTGACAGACAGAGATCACAAGTAGGCAGAGAGGCAGGCAGAGAGAGAGGGGAGGAAGCAGGCTCCCTGCTGAGCAGAGAGCCCGATGCGGGGCTCGATCCCAGGACCCTGGGATCATGACCTGAGCCGAAGGCAGAGGCTTTAACCCACTGAGCCACCCAGGCGCCCCAAGCCAGCCATTCTTTTAAATAACTTTTTAGTCACTTTCATCCTCCCTTTCAGGCATTCGGTTTCTCACATTTGCAGGCACTATAACACAGTACAGTGGTCCCTACACCTCCCCGCACATCAGAACCATCTGCCTAGACATCTAAAACTGTACACGTCAGGAGGTCAAAAAGGGCAGTGAAACTTCTTAGGGTTATGGAAATGTTTCACATCTTGACCGCAAGGATACTTAGATGACTGTACACAACTACTGTTTCATCAAACCAGACACTTAAAAAGGGTATATTTTATCTTACATCAAGTATATCTCAATAAATCTGGGGAAACAAAAACACTACAGAAAACAAAACAAAACAAAAAACCTCAAACCTACAGAATTGGGGCCCAAGAAGCAAGAATTTCAATGAACTTCACAGGTGACCCTTATGCACTTAGAACAATGAACAGAGCTCAAACCATCAGAATGAGAAAGACCAGGATCCAAATGTACTTACCAGAAACATGACTCTGGGCAAAACACTATTTAAGTCTCAATTTCCTCAAGTGCAAAAAGAAGACAATAATAGTACTGACCCTCAAGTGTCCTGAGGTCTCAGTAAGAAAAGTATATAGAGGACTCAGCAGACAGCGCTGCCTGCAATGAAGGCCCAGGAACCATTAGCAGCAGTTCATTTCATGGCCTATGCTGATGTTACCAAACTACAGCTCCACGAGTCTTCGGCTCTCAGGTCAAGAAGAAAGTCTTCCAAGGTACCTTGTGCCAGAAACATGGACCCAGGCCTCCCCTGGAACCATGTCCACATCGCCAATGATCCGCACTACCAACAGACCACCAAGAACTAAGCAAAACCAGAGCTAAATTAAGGCCCACCCACACCTGTATCACCAGAACCTCCCCTGAGATTCTGGACTACCTAAGGAGTAGATTTCCCCCTCAAGCTGTTCCAGCTGCCCCAGGAAGCCAGGCAGAAACTGAAAAGGAACTTGGAAGCTCAGAGAAGTCAAAAGGTAAACAGAACAGCAACTTATCCCAAGGAATACCTGGCTTCCCTCAGGACTCCTCCTCTGAAGGTGGAAGAACGCATAGTTTTAAGAGGATAATCACACATGGCACTTGGCGTCTCACTTTAAAACTTACAATGTGTTTCATGTCCCTCATCCCCTTTAACTTAAAGAGTACATGCCTTGAAAAGTAATAGCAGCTTCCAACCATGGACTATTTACTTGGGACCAGACTCTGCACTCAAGGCTTTATAGGTACCATTCTTGTTTAATCATCACAGCAAACCTATGAGAATGAGCCATTATCCCTGTTTTAAATGTGAGGTCTACAGAAACACAAGAGATTTTTGTAGATGGATTTCATACCTTGCAACTTTACTGAATTTGTTTATTTTTTAAAGATTTTATTTATTTGAGAGAGAGGGCACAGAGGGAGAGTGAGAGGGAGAAGCAGACTCCCAGCTACGCAGAGAGCCTGATGTGGGGCTCAATCCCAGGACCCCAAGATCATGACCTGAGCCACAGGTGGACACTTAACCAACTAAGTAAGCCACCCAGGCACCCCTGAATTTGTTTACAGTTTTTTTGTCAAAAAACTGAC